TCAATGCCTGCAAGAAACAGGAATACTCAAATGCACAGGCCTACATGCTGGTTTTAACACATTCAGTACCAATCAAAGAGCTCGGCACACCTCCTTTCAATGCTATATTATTGTAGTTGAAGGCAATTCAATTCCATTTTATTTTTATGGCTCATTTTCACAATGTTACACTGTCTCAGAGTGCTTTACGTTATCCCTGTCCGAAGCCCCCAGTGGGCAAGCCAGAGGCGACAGTAGGAGGGAAAAACTCCCTAGAAGGAAGAAACCTTGTGAGGAACCAGACTCAAGGTGGGAGCCCATCCTCCAGGGGGCAGCAGTGGAAGTCAGATTAACAAAGTCCCGATTCATATGCTCCAATTTACTAATGTCCAGGTGTAAATGCGGAGTCACTGGCAGCAGGGCAGGCAGGAGAGATGTCACAGTCGGAGGGGGGGGGGGCGCACAGAAGGAAGGCACAGTCAGTGAAATAATACATATCAAATAATGCAATGATCAAGAGTGGTGATCAACATGTCAAGATTTTCTCAAATGTTAGGCTCTTTAAACAGCCTCCTTTTGCTTCAATGACAGCTTTGCAGACTCTTGCATTCATTCCACCAGCTTCCAGATGTAGCCAACTGAAATGGTTCTTCAACAGTCCTGAAGGAGTTTCCACAAGTTCTGGGCACCAGTTGGCTACTTTGCTCTTCACTCTTCAATCCAACTAATACCAAACCAGCTCCATGGGGTTTAGGTCAGGGGATTGTGGGGACCAGGTCATCTGTCACAGTACTCCATCACTGTCATTGTTCATAAGATAATACTTACTACATAAACTTAACGTTGCTTAGGGTCATTATCTTGCTGAAAAACAAATGATTTTCAGTGGGTGTGTCCAGACTTTTGACTGGTACTGCACGAGTGAGTGTCTGTTAAAACAGCATAGTTTGGTACTCACAGAGGTCCATGATGTGGTTCCTACAAATGGCACAGTTGTCAACTACGATGTCCCAGGCCCAGAGGGCCACAGCATTCCACTAAAACCAAAAGAAACATGGTCATCATTTACACTCAACCCTCCCAAATGACACATAGCCACTATTTCACCTCACACTCCAGAGGAACCACCTAATCATTCAACTAGGAAGAAAACAAACTATTTCCATTCATAAGTTCTATCTGTGAAATATTTTTGGTTTGAGTGATACTCACTCTTATTACATACTCTATTAAATTGATGTGTTGGGTCAAAGAAAATCCCTAATTGAAAAGCTGACGGTCCTTACATCTGCATCACCACTAAATGCTGGGTTTCTCTCTTAATATCTCCATCTTTATCCAAAGGAGTGATTAGCTAGGCTAACCAAGGCAATATACAATACTGAACGGTCCAAGCTTTATCCCTCTTATTTTCACGCACGCCTGTCGGCACATCTCCCATATAATTATCCTTAATGTTGGCGACGATGGGCATAAACGCAGGAAAAGGTATATCCGAAATCAGGAAGCGATCACCGATATAAGCTGCAACGTAATACAAGATCGGAAAACAACCATGTCGATTTGATAGTTTATGATAGTTATATTAGTTCCCGTCTAATTACCTGTATTGATCCCAAAATGTACAACGTTGTCTTGTCAGTTAGGTTACACATGACCAACCAAAAAGCATAGCTATTCGTGGTACTTGAAATATTATGACAAAACGTCGACGACGAAACAAAGTAATAATCAAATATCAGTGTCTTACTGTTGCTTTATCGGATTTCCTAGTTAGGTAGGAAAGGAAGGCAAGAACTGGTTAAAGAAAAGTATAAATCTTTAGAAACACGTACTATTTCTTAATTGTCATTCATAATTACCTTCTTTACTTCAAAACGCTTTTTGCTTGCCCCACTATTGATGCAAGCCGGAGCATCTACATCCATCGCCGCCGCCATCTTGACTGTCAGACTGCGCCCGGGTCGCGTTTCTATCCTTTCCGGCGCATCGAGATTACTGCTGCGGATAGATGCGCTCCTATTGTCGTCATTTTGCACGCATGGAAACGATTAATGATAGTGTACATGGCATTCTGTGTAGAATTTATATACTTGTTGTATTGTTTTACAGCAAAAATTAATATTGATATTTACTTTTGAAATTTTAAGAATGTGACTTCTAATGTGCCATAATGCTGGGAACTTGTGACTAGGGATGGGAATTGAGAACCACTTGAGCATCGGTTCCAAATTTTCCAAATCATCGGAATCATACGCCTGTGAGCTTATCAATTCCTTTATCGATGTATTGATTACAAGCTAACAACGTCATACACGTGCGTCTAGTGTTGAAATAAAGTGGACATTTTCATGTTCACTGTGTATATGTGTGTGTGTGTGTACATTTTATTCTTTGGATTTTATTGTAATTTTTTACTGTGTATCTGCTGGCGCGCTCCAAACGAAATTTCATTGTACTTGTACAATGACAATAACGCATCTTTATCTTTATCTTTATCTAAGTGACAGTCGACTTCATGTGGAAGTGAACATATTTGGGCTCGTTATTCTATATAAAGAATTCAGTTTAAACGTAGAAGCTATTTATCAGAAACGAAAAAGGCTGCATTTAGGATCAACCGAACTATTGCAAGAAATATCCTGTATATATTTCAGTTACAAAAGCGAAAAACCTTAGGTTCCACCGAGATTTGAACTCGGATCGCTGGATTCAGAGTCCAGAGTGCTAACCATTACACCATGGAACCACATGACAGTATGCTCTAAAAATGATTAATAAAGAGTAACAAGAGCAATAACCGACTAATAAAATGATAAATTTTAATTGAAATACTTAGTTTTTTTGCATAATATCTTCATTTTATAAACTGTGTGAAATATTTTTACAACGTGGGACTTAATGAGTTTCAGGAGATAAAATTTTAACAATAGAATATCCCATGATGCACTTCTCCAAAAGCGAGCTGTGGCATGGAATTAAACGGTAAAGTTTACTGCAAGAATTTGGAAGTTTATGAGTTGCGTATTGATCAAGTAAATAAAAGGAACTTAAAATGACCAAGAGGTGCGTGGTAGGAGGGTGTCGCAACACTCATGTTGATGGTGTTAGTGTACACACGTGGCCCAAAAACAAAGAACTTGGAAAAAAATGGGACAGCTTTGTAAAGCTCGGGCGGTTTAACTGGGTGGCCGGTACCACCGGAGTTAGCGTGATTTGTGGAGCCCACTTCACCGCTGAAGACTTTGCCAACTTCTCTCGCTGGAAGGCTGGCTTTGCAAGAAGTTTGATTCTCAAGCCCGGAGCTTTTCCGACCATTAATGTCGCGCCCAAGGCTGTGTACTCAAACAGAAAAAATTATAAATTTTCGCGGACCTTCAAGAAAAAAGGGATAAAGGTAGGCTGATTCAGTCTACTAGCAGAATGGATTTTGTCTCACCATTGAATTCGGTGCTGTGTCTGAATGATGAAGCTATGTAACGTAAGCGGTGGAACCAGGCTCAAGTGAGATTGTCTGTCTGTTTCTTGTTTTTCCCAGGAAAATGTCCAAAAAGTTTAACTTACTGACAAACGACACCGGAGTTTATATTTTTTCACATTTTATTGTTGCAGTAAGATATGATTGTCTAAAACTCTTTACTGGTCAGCTTGCATCCTCATCTTCACATTGGTTGAGAATGCAAGCAGTTGAGATGGAAAAAACACTTAACTAGCTTTATGAGGAAGGATGAGAAGTCCTGGGAATTACTTCTGTGCTCTTTTGGATCCCATACAAAGTGTTATTTAAACTTCCAACGGAAGGTAAAAGAGGATACGAATGAGGTATTCTTCCTGTATCTGGATCTAGGAGGAACTGGGGAAAGAGATGTTTAGACTCACCTGCTCCGATTACTGGGTGGATGAGTGGGTAGACTATTCTGCAATATTTTAATTACTTTAAAATACGTAAGTTTACTGCAGGGTGTTGAGCTCTTTATTTGTAGTACTGGGTGACATTTAGTATTTTATTATATTATTAGTTACTAAACTTGCTGACTTTGAGCTAATCTTTAGGATTTGGAAATCATTGCAATACATACATTTTTAACATACAGCATTTCTCTACTACCAGAACAGAATGGAATTATATCGTTATGAAATTAAGTAAAAATGAGAAATAATATAACAGTGAAAAGTGTGAAAAGCTGCAACACAAATCGAACTGATCTAAATACGAATTCGGTTACTTATGTTTCAGCAAAGCATGTAGACGAGAGTGCTGAATCAGATGGCACTGTCCTCCACAGAATAATTTTATTAACAAACATGCGTAGTTCAGATACAGTGTTACAATAATAGTTGTTCCTGTGGACAAGAAAGTGTGATAGTAAATACTCAGAACCAACCCAGCCTTTTCCACAGTAAGCAAGCCACCTTACTAAAGTGGGCAGTGGTGGCCTGATGGTTAGGGAAGCTCATTTGTAGTCCAAAGATTGCTTGTTTGAATCCACGACCAGCAAAGTACCACTGAGGTACCCTGAGTAACGTACCGCACCCAAGCCCTGCTCCCTGGGTGTTGATTTAGCTGCCCCATGAGTTAAATGCAGAGGACACATTTCGTTGTTGTGCACTGTGTGTCGTGGTGTGTTACCAATGACTTCTCTAAAATGAATATGCTCACTCAGACTCACCCCAAACAAAACAACGTGGCTCCAGATATCAAGAGACTACAAGACCCAGAATGCACTCTCGTTACCACAAACGGGTTTTATGATTGGATGGCTAGATACCGCCCATGACCAATAGTAAGCGAGTGTGTACTGAGCGTGGATTCGGTGAGTTTGTCATGATTTTTTCTGCAAAAGTCAAGATATGATTTAGCATAATATGATACAATTTTTGTGAATGTGGTTACGTCTAAAACGACATTGCTTGATGAAGTCTAAAACCTGAGCTCAGCTGAAGGGCAATTAGACGCTACTGTGGAAAGCCGTTAATAGCAACTAGCTAGCTAAACATTTGGAGATGTAAGTATTTTGGTTACCTTTATTTCAGCATTTTAATGAATAATCATTTAATGGAGCTTTCTTAAGAGATGGGATTAAGTTTTGATGGGATTTTAAACGAGTGTGTGTTATTGGTAGGGAGATCTTAATTCCAGCCATTTAACTGTACAGCGTAAGCATTTAGAATAGAAAAATTATTTTAGAAAATAAGTCTAATGTACTTAAGAAACTATAGTTGTGCATCGGTCGGTGACCAAGCTTAATAAGTTTAAAGGACTGGGGATAATTACAGACTGATTTTAGCCTTTTGTTTGTCTTCCGCGATGAATGTGACTTTTTGTGAACGACAGTTTAAAAAGAAGCTGTAAAAACCACTACAAGAACGCCTATGTGTGATTCGCTGTGATGTGTGCGGTGTTTAACCGCAATGGCAAATCACAGCTCTAGCCACTCTGTTCAAAATAAGCATTTAAACGCGTGCCGACATCAAGCCAAAGCAATGCACCGATGGGTAGATTAGTGTTTAAGGTAGTTTGGATATAGTTTCATTCGCAATTAGGATTACAGTGTTGCTGCGAACACCTTCGGCATTTCGAGAGGGAAACTGTCGTTTAAATCAGCGTTTCTCAAACCAGCCCTCGGGGACCCCGACAGGTCCACGCTTTTTGCTCCCTCCCACTGGGTCGTATTACGCTGACGTCATTGTCAAAGTACACGTGTATGGAAACGAGGAGGCCGCCATTTTACCGGGGAACGATCATGACTATTGACTGTTGTGTGTTTGGCTGTGGTAACAGCTACAAGAAAAACCCACTTCTGAGTTTCTTTTGTATACCTTCGGTTCGTAAAAACCAAGGCAAAGAAACCGAAGAACTAACGGAAAGGCGACGGAAAGCCTGGCTAAAAGCCATAAATCGAAAGAACTTGAACGACGATGCTATCAGGAAGTGGCACGTTGTGTGTTCCGAGCATTTCATTACAGGTAGGTTAGATCCACGCAGATTTACTTTTCTAAACGCAGTAAATATATTTCAAACTACAGTTTCTTTCTGGAATTCTATGCTAAGTCAGCGAGAAGTATGACGGTGATTACTGACAGCATTTAAAGATATCTGTTCGACAGTTATACGGACATAGATTGATACAAACACTACAGGCCAGAAGTTTTGGCCCACCTTCTGATCTTTTGAAAAAGCAATGTTTCATTAATTTTTAAAAATCTTTATTACAAGAAAATATTAGAAGTTTTGAAGTGTAATGTAACAATTTACTGTACACTGCAAGTGCAATTTAATGAATGCGCGTGCTTAAGTATGAGTTTCATCAAAATAACCATCCCTTGCCTTTATCACAGCAGCAGATTCACAGCATCCTTTCCAGCAATTTTTCCAAATAACTTGTCTCCAAACCCTCCCAGCACCTTTTTTTTAAGCATGCAGACAGTTCTCTCTCATTTCCTAGATATTCATTTTGAACTTGTTGGTCCAACTCATCCCATGGATGAACTTTCGTCCATCTAGAAGACCTGCTCCCAGGCCTGAATACTCCAGTGTTTGTGATTAGCCTATAGTAGTCTCTCTTTCTTCTTAACACCCAGAGGTAACGGTTTTCTGGCGGCAACTCGACCATGCAGTCCAGCTGCGCTCAGTCTTTGCTTGACTGTATTAAGAGATACCGGTTTCCCCTCTGTTCACATTAATAACAGCCCTCAGACCATTACAGTCACCTTCCAGTTTCTTTTGCACATCACAACTAAGCGTAGATCTTCAATCTTTGATGTCACTTTCCTTGCCCCAGACCGTTTCTGGTCATTTGCTTCTTATCAACCTTTTTCAGTGTCAACAGTATGTCACTCCATGCTTAGAGACATTTAACTTTCTGGCTGTTTGTCGATGAGAGAACCCTCCTTCTTCCATTTTGATTTGAGCCCTCTGTTGAATTATTTAGTTTATTAAGACACAATTAAGATAGGCCAAGAGCAAGACAAGTTCTGAGATTAGTAAATAGAATTCCAACACAAAGTGAATGTCAATGCACTAAAGACAGACCTGATATGTCTTGGGAACCAATAGTTTCAGCCTTTAGTGGCTAAATAATGTGATACTACAAGATATAAAATACTGAAAACCAGTCTGTTACATTTCTTTTAAGTATTTCTAATATTTTCCTGTAATAAAGGTTTGACAAAGCATTTTTTTTAAAATCCGAGGGTGGGTCCAAACTTCTGGCCTGTAAAGTATATACATTGATACACGCAGGCATACCAGTGCCTTATATAAAAGTGACATGATTGATGATGAAATGTAAAAAAACATCCTGTACTCCCTAGTGAGGTTTTATCTGCAATGTTTTGGCATGTATTAAAGTAAATCAATTTGAAAAGAATTTAAGGGTTTCTATTGTTTGGCTTCTTTTAATTAAAATAATTTGCTTTCAATTCCAAATCGGCAAATATTCTTGTAATTCAGCAAAGCATCTCTTTGACAGGAGCACCAGCATATATGCATGATGAATTCAACCCTGACTGGGTTCCTCACCTAAACCTAAGCTATACTGAGGACTCCCCAGCGGCAAAACGTAGTACAGTCAACCGATATATTCGGCACAAGCGAAGGAATCGATGCACTACAACTAGTGAATCCAAAAAGAGAAAGGTAATTTTTGTTTTTTGTCAGTCTTGTCTGTACTTAGACTTTATGGTCTGCTTTGGTGGTTAGATTATTTCCTTCAAATGTTATGAAGAAATTTTTTAGCCCCTTTTTCCTGAACAAAATACAACTTTTTATGGTCCTGAGCACTTGTCATACATTCTGTCTATACGAAACTTTCTTTAACAGGTACCTAACTATTTGAAAAGGAAAGAATTAAGTAATTCAATAAATGTGTGTAAAACATCAATTTAAATTTTGGTAAATACATTGTTGGCTCCAGGGGGCGCAGTGGTTAGCGGTGCTGCCTCACAGCCAGAAGGTCCTGGGTTCGGTCCCCGGGTCGGGTCGGGTGTAGGATCTTTCTGTGTGGAGCTTGCATGCTCTCCACTGTGTCTCCTGTGTTCGCATGAGTTTCCGCCGGGGGCTCCTCTTTCCTCCCACAGTCTGAAAGTGTGCACGATAGGTTAATTGGCGACTCTAAGTTGGTCCCATGAGTGTGTGTGCCCTGCAGTGTGTTGGCACCTGCCCAGGGTTGGTTCCTGCCTGTGCCCCTTGTTCCTGGGATAGGCTCCGCCGCCCCCCCACAACCCCAGTCGATTGATTGATTGATTGATTGGAAATTTACCATGTAATTTGACATAAAAGTATAGACATTGCAAAATGCAGTTTGGAACACTTGCAGAAACATTATAAAAGTACATAGTAAGCAATGCTGGCAGTTTGTTTTGATCCCAGATATCTGATCACCAAAGTCTTGGCTACATGAAGATGACTAAATGGTGTAGTTGCAACATTCATTTGGATAAATAAATAAGAAAAACCAAACTAATGTCACTATTTCTGGCTCCTTTCATTGAATATGTAGCAACTTTCATGTGTATGAATGAGCCATTGACACCTGGCCACACCCCCCCCCTTTTATGGTGCGGATGGGGATGTATCTGGATCGCGTTTCACTGCTGCGCTGTTCATCAAATTACCATGTGAATGGGATTTGAATACGCGCTAATGCGGCTATTTAGAATGCGAATAGCGATCTTCGGGTGAGAGCGGTACTACACGCCCCCGATGCAGGTAAAACTTGTGGGGAAAAAAAGGTGACTTGGTTTACTTTTTTGCCAATTTAACCTAATTTTAAAAACGTTAATACTTCCGACAATGGACGTTTTGAAAAGAAGACAGATTACGGATTTAGTCAGCGTTTTTTTCATATTTCTATAATAAGCTTTCAGCGAGTCATGAACTGAAATACACGAGAAAGATGCTCAGCATCGTCGACGATGCCATTGACTCCAGAAGGTTAAATAAAATGCAAGAAAGTGAGATCCGATTACAAGAGGTCAGTCGGCATGTTAACGCCGGTTGTGAACGGACGTATTTGGCGCTGTCTGCTTGTGATCGGACCACCCAGGCCGCATGTTAATGCCAGGTGTGAACAGGGCCACAATCACATGCTACCATTTTATCCTTGTCAGGTTTTCTACATATATACCAAACACTCCCAATCATTCCCATCACAGGTGACTGCCCATGGCTATTCCTAGACGAGTAATACTCTGGCAAACGTTCTGGCAATACTGCCTTTTCAAAGAAGGATCCTGGCCTGCATATGGCGCTTTTGTGGAACTTCTCACCGGGCAGAAATCCCTGCAGAAAAGTATCCTTCTGCAGTCGCTTCTCCAGTTTCTTCCTGGCTGTGGGAAACTGGGGGCACTGTCTTACAGGCATCTTCTGTAGTCATGTTCCTTGCTGAATATGGGCTCTTCATCTCTAAACATCCAAGACTGTGACACTCACAGCATTGTGTGCCACCCGGAGAGGCTCCTTAAAATGGATAATTGTCACTTAAGAATAGCCCCACCTCTGTTAATATGTATTCTTCGTGCTTTTGTAGTGAAATCTCAGAAAGCTTTTCACGAGTTAAAGGCTCACACTGTCTACCCCACTGTAAGGTTTTTCGTTGTGCAAAACTGCTACGGCAAATGCTTCTTAGTAGAAAAATTGGTGGATTTAGAGGGTCTGTGTGACAAGCTTCATAGAATTTGGAGGCTGCGATTCTCCCCTCATACGATGCCACAGTCTTGACGAGGTCTGCTTGTGTGTTTGTGCCGTTGCTCCAAATTGCATACGTGTGCTGTGTTGTCTTGTAAGGGTACAAGATGCGCAGGGAAGATCCTTTTGTGCCGCTGAAGTGAAGTCAGTGTCTGCAACTGATGCGGGTTTAACTTTCCCAATGGATGGTATCGTCCAGTACGCTTTTGTCCCAGTCACAGTGCTCCTCACTTTTTGCACGTGTCATGGCCTTCACACAGAAGAGAGGAACCGCTATGTGGCTGCAGGCTTCTCCAAGGTCTCCCGTGTATGTGCAATCTGCAGACTTGTCATAACCTTCCTTTCTGGCTATGACTCATGGATCCAAGGGTTTCTCACTGAGTTCTCTATGAGTGAAGCACCTACAATGACATCAAAAGCACTTTAAGTAACCACGAAGACTCTGCCTTAAAAGGCTGGTAACAGGTAAATAATTACTCGTAACAGATATGCTGATATACTTCATAAGGTGCAACATTAGCAACCAACTTCTTTGCAAACTAATACTCCAAGACTATGATAATGGGTACTAAATCATTTTCGAATGACCAGTTGGTTTGATTAGATTTCTCATTGAGTAAAAAAAAAAAAAAACTACCAAACTGATATCAGAGATGAAGAAAAGCTGAGTTGCAAGTACATGAAAAGGGTAACATAAGATGTAGATCAATTGCTGCAACAGTTTTTTCATCTCTATTCAGAATAAAAAACGTAAAATGAATCTTTCCTTTGACGCCTTTCTCTTCTGTACGCTGCCGGCAATGAACATCCAGCGCCCATCTACTCAGGAACACACTGTAGATTTTTAAAGACTTAAAAGCCTAAAACGAAATACAATAGAGTAGAAAGTAGAAGCAGGAAATAAATAGGCCACTTAACAAGGAAAGTTTAACTTAAGTCAAAAGCAATGAGGCAGTTTCAAAGAAGAGAGCATCCCACTTAGAATACTGTGTGCAGGTTTGGTCACCATACCTTAAGAAGGACATTGCTGCCTTAGAGAAGGTGCAGCGTAGGGCTACGAGAATGATTCCTGGTCTTAGAGGAATGTCTTATGAGGAGAGGTTAGCTGAGCTGAGTCTGTTTACCGTCGAGCAAAGAAGACTAAGGGGGGACATGATCCAGGTATATAAGATTCTAACAGGTCTGGATGCTGTTCAGACAAACGGCTACTTCAATATTAGTTTAAATACTAGAACTCGTGGCCATAAGTGGAAATTAGCGGGGCTTTTTAAAATGGATTTGAGGAAGCACTTCTTTACACAGCGTGTAGTTAGAGTATGGAATAGTCTTCCTGCTAGTGTAGCGGAAGCTAAAACCCTGGGGTCCTTTAAATCAGAGCTAGATAAGATTTGAACAACTGAGCTATTAGTTAAGTTCTCCCCAAATGAGCTTGAGGGCCGAATGGCCTCCTCTCGTTTAATTTCTTATGTTCTTAAAAACGGAATACAAACATGTAGTTACCCTGCCTTCACACAAAGGCCAAAAAAGAACAGAAATGAAATATGACCATAATACAGATCAGATAAATGCTGCTGCTCAGAAGGTAAGCAATTCTTAGAGAAGCATCAACACACAATTACACAGAAGCATACATAAGTAGTAAATTACAACCAAAGTGATAAGCCAATCAAAGCTTTATCTGCCTTGAACAGCTCGCTGGAATAATGGCTTTTACGAAGCACCAAATAAGTAACCAAAGCCACGATATCGGGGGAAATATTTTTGTCTTGCGTCCGCTGTTACGCTAATTGACTCCATCTTCTTGCAATACTGCATCAAATTTTCCATACATACGATCATCATTCCCTGGTAAAATGGCCGCTACGTACAAATTGTGCTGTAATAAGCATGTAACTTAATACAGCCTATTCCCTAAGAGTTGGGAGGGAGCAAAAACGTTAATGGCCTGTGGGTCCCCGAGGACTGGTTTGAGAAACGCTGGTTTAAATCTCCGTACCACCTCTGAATGAATCAGTCTGTGGTGCTGGCCTGATTCTCAATGTAGTATCAGATATAAAAACATTGTCTCTAGATAATGCTGGCTAATGGAGATTCACTCAGCTACATTTGTTCTCTTTTCGATTAATCTGACCGTTTAGAGCATAATTCAACTTCTTAAAAAAAGCTCTGATTTAAAAGAATTTAATATAGTTTCAGTACCCACTGAAGTAATGGAGGTTTTGTTAATTTATACCTAGTTTTGCTTATTGGATGGTCGCTCTGTTTGACAGTTTTCATTCGCCGGTTTGTATTGATGTTTTGACCTTTTTTTTCCCTCTGATTTCTGACCCTATTAAATATCAGTATACTCATGGTAATGTTAAAACTAAGACTGAATATTTTCTTTTTTTTTACTTTTTTTTACTTTTGTAGCCCAATGACCTTAAACTTGAAATGAGTACATCATCAACCGATGCACACACCATAGGACCTTTTCAACTGAAACTGCATTTCAATTCTCCTCTTGGGTTCGCAGAGTATATTTCCAGGGATTTGGAATATGACATCATCAGAGCCGCGTCGTGGCTGGGTGTAGGCCTTGCGTTCTGATTCGCTGCGAATAAGCAGCCCGGGGAGGGGGTTGGGGGTTAAAGAAAAATGCCAAACCGCTGTGTGGCGTATGGGTGCGGAAAGACCCACGAAGACAACGTGACCCTGTTCCGATTCCCCAAAGACCCGGCGGAGAATCACAAGTGGGAGAAGCAGGTGCAGAGGACGCGGACAGACTGGCTGGCTAAGGCTTCCTCGCACCTGTGCAGTGATCACTTTGGCAAGGAGTGTTTCGAGCCCAAACCGCTAGCAGGGGTAAAGACTCCTTGCCCTAAAACGTCCCTGAAGCTGAAGGATGGCGCAGTGCCCACCATTTTCATACAGCCCCCTTGCCAGAGCTGCTCTGGTGACGCTGTGGACTGTAGAGCCTGCTCCTCCAGAGGGCGATGGCGGGCCGTGCCCGCTGAGCCGCGCGCTATGGAGGCGGTAAGTACCGGTGTCCCATCGGCCCTCGCTGCGTCAGACTCTGGGATGGGGTGCGTTTAGGAGAGGAGCCAGAGGATAGACCCTGATCAGTTTTGTAGCACAAAAACCTTTAAAGGCTATTCGTCTGTAGCTGTGGAAAAAATCCCTGGACGTGGGGGTGTTTCCTTAAATCCGTCATAAGAAACTTGGGGCCTGTACTACGAAGCGGGGTTACTGGCTTATCGGGGTTGTTGGATTTAAGGTAGTCTGGGCAAAATGTAAGTGAACGAATATGAAGTCCATTTAAACTGCGGGACCTTAAATCCGACAAGTTACCCCGATAAGCCAGTAACCCCGTTTCGTAGTACAGGCCACTGGTATTTTACATGAATGAAGTCCTTAGCTATGACTTCGGGTGGAATTCCGTGGAGTACAGTTTCGGGCCAGCATCTGCTGAAGCATTCAGATCCACCTGAGCGTCCACTGTATACTGATTTTATTATGTTTTTTTGGATAATTAGTCTGTGGTTCTCTTTTTTTGGATAAAAAGTCGGTGGTTCTCATGAAAATCAGCCTGTGATGAGTTTTCAGACTCGTCTCAGAAGCACCTCCTGCTGTGGTACTTAGAACTATTGCTTCAGTGACATGGAGAGCACTTTGTAATGGTGTAATTGTAAAGGAATCTGGGAGAAAACTGTCCCGGTGAACAGTGAAATCCAGGTTAGAATCATTTGCCCACCCACCAGAAAATTTTCATCGTCAACTCCCATCCCCTCCCTGTATCGTTGTCAGAATACCAAATTTGGTATTACTTGGTGTCGAAAATCCCTAATGTGTATTCTGTGTATTACATGTGCATTATAACAGTAGCATGTGGAATGTTACACTAACTCAGCCAGCCTTGCTGTATGTTTGTTGGGATTAGGTTGTCTCGATTTAAAGTACTACTGTATGATTGGTTCATATTCCCTTCATTTCACTATGTGAATACATCTGTAGTCTATCAAAGTTTCTCATTACCTTATGACATTTATTATACAGTAATTTAAACTATATCATTTATATCACCAAGCCTCACCCCTGTATATGTCCCCCCCCCCCCCCATATGATTATTCCAGTGTCTCTGCTTGACACACAAATAAAAATCAATTTTAAATCTACCTGGCTTGCACCTGTCTCAGTAAATCAGGGGATGAGTCTATTTATTTGAAGACTAATAACATTATTCAGAACTTCTCATCTTGCGGGATTAGGCCTACTTGGTCTACTGTATGCAGATAATGCGCTTGTGATGCACTGTTGTCATGTAAACCATGCAGTTTAGCTACGTCTCCAAAGTATGGAAATGTTTTGGGGTTTCAACAAAAAGTGACTCACCTGACGGCACTTAAAATAGTGGAGGAACCACAAACTTTAGACTAAAATGATAGGACTTTAATGAAGGATATCATTAGGGTGGTAATACAATTGTAAATTAAAGGCACATTTCCGAATTAAAGCATTGAAGATAAATTCATTCAGTATTCTGTTTGAATGGTGCGTGACTGTGAAAATTTCAAGATAGAGTTAATTACAAGTATTTACTTCGTCTCGCACACCGGTTTGTGTATTACTGTATTGTATTGTGATAATGGTTCATCTTGCCCCAGCACTGGTGATGCACAGCCCTACGCAAAACCGAGGATTAAACCTCTACTCTCTCTGCTATACTGGTCTTGAACAAATAATTACTAATCATTCTATTTCCCCTTTTTTTTCTCCATTTCTCTTCCTGCACATTTACCTGAGAATATTTCATGTTTAGGAAGAATATAATCAATGAATTACTGATATTGAGACACTTCAGAGCAGACCAGTGACAGAAAATGGGAGGACGAGTTTTGACAAAGGGAGCCCCGCCTGTACTCTTTGAATGGAATACCTACACCCTCCAGCACGAATCCAGTGATTGGGAAGGAAGACAGATAGTCATTGAGATTGTCCTGTGGACCATGGGTCTGGACCATGGTGCTATTGTGCTGTTTCTGAGGCCACACTTGTGGAAGCTCCAGTGAATGTCTGCTATACTACGGTGCCGTCTTGCGATCTGACGTACCAGTCGGACGGGGTGGCGCTGCCTTAGTGGCTGATTAACTTTTTTAATCGCTTGTGTGATTGTGTCTTAGTGCATTAACTCGTGTCTCGTGCCCTCAGCATCAGTGCCTTGGTGTGTCACATGATATCTGCGTTTCTGTAGATATTTTTCCGTATCGTTGGCCTTTTATATCTATCAGCATTTCGTCGTGTTTTAACTGTAAATTGCTTTTGTGCTTTGAATTATTGCGTTCTTGAAGTTATTTACAGGTACAGGGCTTACTTGCACAGAAGGGTATTTCCTTATCTTTAGTCATTTGTACTTTGTTGTTAGAGTTCTGATGGCTGCCAGTTGTTGTCGAAAACATGTCCTACAAGTGTGTGCCTTTTCTCAAGGCCTGACAGACTACGTAATGCATAGGCTACTCACTTTGTAATAAAAATACATGCATATGTGATGTACCCCTAGGTTTCTACCCTAGCTCTCTTAAATCCATGTTCTCTTACGTAGGGAGTTACATTCCTCTCTCCTTTCTACGTTCATCCTTCTGCTCAATAAAGTAGTGAGCCAGCTTTGACAAATTTCAAGGTTCAGGCGCCCAATTCTACTGGTTTCTTAAGGTCCCTCAGTTGATCACAGGACAAAGCTGCCTCCTCCTCTCTTGATTCCACCAAGCTTATAGTGATGTTTGTAGCACAAGAACTGGTTACATCTGGCATCTTTACGCAGATACAATTTTTTTTCTTCCACCAAGTACATCCAAACATCTGGCACATTAATTAAACACAGGTATCGGATCGGTTCTTGGGATCAGCTACCCAAAACCCAGGCATTTGTAGCGATATTGGAACTGAAAGTCAGATCAGTGCATCCCTAGTTTGTTGTTGGTGTTGATCAGCTGCGTCAGCCTGCACGGTCTGGTCCTGATGGAACTGTGCACTCCCTGTGCAGGACTCGGGCTCCACACAGACGACAAATCCGGTGCCCATGGACACGGACGGCAAGGGAGGGACAGAGGATGATGAGGAGGCCGAGGAAGCGGTGGATGAAGAGGAGCAGGAAAAGCACCTTGGGGAGATGATGGTGGACCTCCCCTCGAATAACTCTGAGCATGCTCCCAAGGAGGACGGGCCCGGTAAGGGTGGACGTTGCATCATCTGACATTGTGATCGTCCCTCCCTCACGGTCCCTCTGTCCGCTCTCTCCTCATGCTCCTCCTCCCTCTGTCCGCTCTCTCCTCATGCTCCTCCTCCCTCTGTCCCTCTCCCAGCTGTGTGCGAGATGTGCGGCATGGTGGGCACCAAAGACACCTTCTTCTCGAAGACCAAGCGCTTCTGCAGTGTCTCCTGTTCCCGCTCGTACTCCTCCAACTCCAAGAAGGCCTCCATACTGGCACGGCTACAGGTGGGTCTCCCCGTGCCTGCTGTCAATTAGCGCGTGACATCGCAGGGCACCTTTGGTGCGTCACGTAGCCACCAGTGAGTAAAGCTAACATTCAACATTGCAGTCTGTAAATATTACCAATGCAGTTGAACTTGATGTGGTAATTAAACCAGAAGTGCAGGGCTTGCAAATTAGCTCGGACAGGAGAGGAAGTGCTGCTTGTTTTTATGTTTTTTTTTGTTTGTTTTTTTTTTGGTCTGGGAGCTCAGATAGTCAGGGAGCAAGAACTTTGCTGAAAGTCTTTTCAGAGGACAAAAAATCCAGGCCAGAACAGGACCCATTTAGCAGTTGGACTCTGGTGAGGCAAAACGTTTCTTTTCTAACATCCGCAGAATAGATTCTGGGCCTGATAGGTGACCAGTCATATGGGTGCTCACAGTGTTACATTATGTATCAGCTGTGGTTCTCCAGCAGGACCGGTTTGTTTCTGGACTAAAATGTAAACGTGGCGTGTGTGCAGGGGAAACCACCCACCAAGAAAGCCAAGGTTCTGCACAAAGCTGCCTGGTCCTCCAAGATCGGAACTCTGCTCTACTCCCAGGGCATCGGCCAGCTGCTGGATGGTACCGTAACTGGGCAAGACGGTGAGCCGGGCCTCTGCCACATTCACCCACCCATGTGGACAAAAATGTGTATTATTACTAGACGAACACACAAACCTTTGGACATTATTCTCTGGACCACGAGTCATAACGGACTTCAAGGGACCTGGCAAAACAGTCCGTTATATCCAGAGTTGCTGTATGCCCAGAACACAACTACAGGACACCATTTACTCATGCCACACCCCAGCAGACACACTTGTGGTATAGATTATTATACTGTACATGTAATAATCCAACTTTACCGGACCAGATGCGTGATTATTAATCCCGACTACGTATCTGCGCTGGATATCACCGGCACGCCACGCACCTTGTAGGCGGAGCTGCATGTCTGTTATAGCCGAACAGAACTACAGCTAAAAGCGGCCCTTGGGACCAAATTATTTGTCCGTTATATGCGAGTCCGCTATATCTGATGCTTTTTCTGCATGTTCTTAACGGCGCACGGCCGGGACCAGCGGACCTCGTCCGTTATAGATGATATTCAGTTATAAGCGAGTCCAATCTAGCGGGATTTTACTGTAATGCAAATGTGCCCTCTTGCCTGCAATCTTGCTGAATACCCCCCCCCCCCCCCACACTTTTTTTTTAATGCCCAGCTGTGGCCATGGGCTTCGACTGGGGCACATACCTGAAGGAGAGCGGCTTCCAAGCGGCCCCCGTCACCTGCTTCAGACATGTGAGTCTTTGGTCACATGACCAGCTTCTCATTGGCTCACGGTGCAATAGGACACCGTCTATGGGTCGTCAGTGCTTCCGTTTTGCAAACGTAGCTTTCTATATAAGCGCAATGTAACGGCGAAATCTAAATGGCTTATTTTAAAGCAGCGTTGGGTTTGGTTTAAAGAGTAGAAATGCTATAACTTAACTAGTTATTAGTCTGCGGCTGTTGTAACACAGTTGCCCAATGCCATGTTTTTTTTCTTTTGTTTTAATCCTAAAATCACATGTTATGGGTGAATTTTGACCCTTCCCCCCCCAGGTACCCCTATACACTCAGTGGGAAGACATCTCCGTGGGCCTGAAGGTGGAAGTCCTCAACAGCGACGCTGTGCTTCCCAGCAAGGTCTACTGGATCGCTTCCATTATGCGGCTTGCGGGTGAGACGCCGCTCTGCCATCCATCCCATTGATCCACATTCGGGGTCAAAACCTCCACTGCACAAGTCTTTGAGGGGAGGGGCATCACCCCATCCTGCATATTTCAAGTATAAATTGATTTTTTGCATTGAAACTCAATGTAATAACTATTAATCGAAGTGGTTTAATGTGAAATACGAAGTTCAAAAAGTATTTAATTGCTATTGTTATTGCTGATCTTTGTTATTGCTTAATTTGGGAATAACACTGAATTCAACTAGCGACACTTAGCCGTGTGCATAACCTTGTGAGCCTGTCCTCCTGGCCCCAGATCAGTGTCAGTCTCCCTCTCCTCCCAGGCTACAAGGCCCTGCTGCGGTACGAGGGCTTCGAGAAGGAAGACAGTCACGACTTCTGGTGCAACCTGGGCACCGTGGACATCCACCCCATTGGCTGGTGTGCCGTCAACGGCAAGCTGCTGGTGCCGCCACTGAGTGAGTGCGGCCGGTGACGGCGTTTAACACGCTGATGATGACATGAAATGAGATCTGAGGAAGAGAGGCTGGAAAAGTAAGTTGGAGATGGAAAGCTGTTAGGCAAGGCTGCCAGTACTGTGAATCACATAGTGTATTGCCTGGGAGCACGTCATGTGATCGCGTCATGTGATCGCGTCATGTGATCGCCCAGTTGTCATTGCAGAAGTGATTGACACAGTTGTTGGCGCCCGCCTGACAGCTATAGAGCAGCGTACGAGGCAGCCAGCCAAACGCTCTAACCGGTTTTAAATCGTGGATTCCTTGGTGGAGTCGTGCCTCTCTGGTTCCCCTCTAGTTGCAGATCGCATCCCTAAAACCTGAGCCTTTTCTGTTCTAATTGCACATAATTTATTTGCACGGGATTTATTATCCTTATCTTTGTGTTCTGTATATTTTTTTTTATCTAGTTGCACTACATTGACTTTGTTTGAACTCTGTGTACTGACTTTGTACCCAGTCTGCTTTCACACCACCGGACATTTTTTTTTTTCTGGAACCAGGGACTTTTGTTGTGTTTCCACCACAGGCCTGGTTTTTATTCCTTGGAGACGATTCCGGAACACTTTTTTAGTACCTACTCCTACTCCTGGGGAGGTACTTACAGCCATGGCTTGATTGGTCGACCATAAGTACCGACGCTAACTTGGAAGTTATGTGGAAGTGCGGGAAAAGAGATGTCGTGGAGCAAACTCCTTTAATTCCCCGAAACTGTAGAGGTGCATTCTGGGTAGCATTTAAAGAACAGAATTTCTGAGCAAATGGTTGCTGATTTAGAGCTCAAACATGTGATGGGTACTTAATGTGAGTGTGTTACCGAGGTCCTGCGGGTGTTTCTCGTGTACGCTGAAAGCGCGTGTGATTTGACGTTGGGTTTGTGCCTGACCGCCTCTCTCTCCCTTCCAGCCATACATCAGCGCATCAAAAACTGGAAGATGTACCTGATGAAGAAGCTGGTGGGGGCGCAAACTCTGCCTGTGGACTTCTACATCAAGGTGCCCGCATGGTCCGAATGTAGTGTGTGGGGGCTGGCGATGGCCCGCACCACGATCTTTGTTCTCGATCCGGTTTTTGATTCGATCTTAGGTTGGCATCACCAATACAGGTATTTAGTGCCACCCCAGCCCAACAGGTACATAACAATAGCAATTTCTGCTGGGGTGGGGGCGGTATGAGAACCATTCAGACTGAAAGAACTGATATGTCATTATCAATCTGTACTTCCCTAGTGGGGGCTGTGTGTGTCCACGGGGGGGGGCTCAGGGCACTTCTCACTCGTTTATCAGTAAGGGGAGAATGCCCTGTGATCAGATCAAATCAAAGTGATGGCAATAAAGAGTAAAATAGTATGAGTCAATAAGCAAGAGTACAAATATTAAAATGAAAAGTAGTATTAAGGTCGTCAGTGAGTGAGTGGGAGGGTGGCCCTCCCAGCGCTGTGCTGGTTGTTTTTCCGCTGACTTCCCCGTTCTCCCACGCAGATGGCGGAGAGCATGAAGTACCCGTTCCGGCAGGGCATGCGGGTGGAGGTGGTGGACCGCAGCCTGGTGAGCCGCACGCGCACCGCCGTGGTGGACGCGGTGATCGGCGGCCGGCTGCGGCTGCTGTACGAGGACGTCAGCCTGGAGGCCGGCGGGGAGGTGCTCCCCGACTTCTGGTGCCACATGTGGAGCCCCCTGCTGCATCCCGTGGGCTGGTCCCGCAAGGTGGGCCACATCATCAAGAGCACGGGTACGGCCCAGTCGCGGGGGTGGAGCAGAGCGGGTTAACGTCCCGCATGAATGCCGATGACGCATTTCTCTTCCCGTCGCAGACAAGCGCGTTGACATGAGCGGCCACCCCACCTTCCGCAAGATTTACTGCGACAGCGTGCCGCATCTTTTTAAGAAGGTCAGGATCCCCCCCATGCTGTAAAAAAAGCTGCTGCCGTTGCTCTCGACTCGCTGAGATCATGTTAGGTGTCTGAGTGTGTGTTTGTGTGTGTGTGTGTTTCAGGTGCGGACGGTCTACATGGAGGGGGGGTTCTTTGAGGAGGGGATGAAACTGGAGGCCATCGACCCTCTGAACCTGGGGAATATCTGTGTGGCCACTGTGCGGAAGGTGAGCTATGCTATTCATACGCACACGGTGCAGTTACACTGCAGTCTCTGCCTACGCACCTCACGTTTACGCTGCTCCGTACTGCGTGGAGGGGCGCACTGCGTGGAGGGGCGCACTGCGTGGAGGGGCGCACTGCGTGGAGGGGCGCACTGCGTGGAGGGGCGCACTGCGTGGAGGGGCGCACTCCGGTCCGTCCGGCCCTTTTCGCTCATGAAGTGCGTGCTTTGGCCCTCAGGTGCTCCTGGACGGATACCTAATGGTGGGCATCGACGGGGTGGAAATCGGGGACGGATCCGACTGGTTCTGCTACCACGCCTCCTCCCACGCCATCCTGCCCGTGGGCTTCTGTGACAAGCACAACATTCCCCTAACGCTGCCCCCTGGTGCGCCCTCCGAAAAATACATCTCAAGAAGTCAATAATGGATTTAAAAAAAACCTTTATGGACGAAGTCTTTAATCGTTAATTGCCAGTCATTTCGGACGAAAGCCATGATAATCTCCCCTCTGTGTCCCTGGCAGGATATGACAGGGTGACGTTCACGTGGGCTAAATACCTGGAGGAGTCGGGTGCGACTGCCGCACCTGCACGCCTCTTTAACGCGGTGAGAGGGCGCCGTTTATCCCCGCTGTCAACCCCCCCTTCATAGAGACTGCAGTTCACAGGCAGTCCCCCCCCCCACCCTGTCCCACCTGATGGTGCCCCCTCCGCAGGACTGCCTGGGCCACGGCTTCGCCGCGGGAATGAAGCTGGAGGCAGTGGATCTGATGGAGCCACGGCTGATCTGCGTGGCCACCGTGAGGCGCTGTGCCGGCCGCCTCTTGCTGCTGCACTTCGATGGCTGGGAGCCCGAGTTCGACCAATGGGTTGACTGCCAGTCTCCTGACATCTACCCCGTGGGCTGGTGCGAGATCACGGGCTACCAGCTGCAACCGCCCATCGGCTCTGGTAAAGGGCCGCGTGTGTTGTGTGTGTGTTGTGTGTGTGTTGTGTGTGTGTGTGTGTGTGTACTGTTGTGTAAAACTGTTGTGTGAAACTAAACTACTGTATATCGTTACACTTTGAGAAATACCAGGTAGAAATATGAGTTGTGGATGTGTGGATTAGAATCCAGGCCTATACTCCTCACTAAGAGCGTTACATTACTCACCTGGAATAGTTAATAAAAAACAAATTTTTCTGTGGATTTTTTTTAAGTCACTGGATAAAAGTATCACCTAAGGAAAAACCACCCCCCCTTTTTGCTACTAAATATGGTTTAGTCCGCAGAAGCAGCTGCACCGTGAGCCGCTGCAATCAGTGACCATGTTCCCTCCCTTTTCCGTAACAGGGGAATCCATCCCAGCTGAAGAAGCACCCAAGAAGCACAAACCGCTGGGGAAAAAGAGTATGTCTGCTGCCGGCCGCCTCCCGACAGCCCCTCCACCCGCCCGCCTCCCTGTAGCCGCTCCGCCCGCCCGCCTCCCTGTAGCCGCTGAGAATCCGTGTCAGATAACACAAGTGTGGAGAGTCAGGACACATCGCTCCAAAGCACCTCCTCTTGGACATTTCTGGAAGCCAGTTAGAATGGAGGCCCCTCCCATTATCCTGCCCCTCTATTTACCTCCCTATCTGCAACCTAACCTCCTCTCCCTGACTGATGATGTCACCATCCTCTTCCATTTCAGAGAAGAGGCTAGTGAAGAAGAAGCTGGCCAGTCTAATCTCCAAAAACCTGCCCCCACCTCGTACCCGCCCAGCTGCCCCGCCCAGTGACCAACCCAGTGATCTACCCACCGACGTGCCCACTAATCTACCCAGTGAGCTGCCCCTCAAGACTGAGCCAGTTGAAGAGGAAAGTGAGTAACACTTTCCCTGCTTGTTCCTCAAGTTCTGATTCATCCTCAAAGCAGCAGAAATCTGGTGCCCTTCAGGCATGTCTGCTGCTTGTTGGTTGAGGAATGGAACTACTTTTCAGGTCTCAGACACGCTGCTGATTCCTGGTCAAAATATAAGCTTCAATAAGACATTTTCGTTCGAGATTTAGAGATGAGTCCGTAAAAGCAGCAGGTTGTATGATTTCTGTGCAACTTGCAATTACTGTTGCCCTCAAGGAATAGAGTTCCGTGACATAGTGAGTGTAAAATGTGGTCTTTCAGGATGCTGGAGACTCTCTCCTGTTGTTCACCTGCCTGTTTGGCTGCTTCCCAACAGTCATTGCGGTGAAGGTGAAGGAGGAGGAGCTAGAGGCTGAAATCCCCCTCCAGGAGCCCGGGGTCCCAGAAACGTCGCTGGAGGAGGCAAACCAGGAGCCCGGCGAGTGAGCCTCTGTGACCGGATTAAAAGGCTCATCCTGGGCCGACTCACCCTTAAAGAGCGGTGGCTCTCTGAGACGTTCTGGATCTCCGTGGCGACCAGGACCCACAATCCAATGCTGGAAGCCAGTAGAGTGGGCGATCAGGATCCTACCTTCTCCTTCCCCTGGTGCAGGATCTGCACTGGGGTCGGTGTTTCCCTAGTGATTTGGTGAAGCGGCACAGGGCTGAACACGCAGAATGTACAGTCACTGAGCCTCAGTGATCAGCAGGAAACTCAGTATGCAGAAAGTGTGCTGAAACGGGGCCTCCCCGGCCCCCGCTGCTGCTCTGAGGGTCAAGCAGATTAATATTTAACGCCATCCTTTATCTCCAAAAACAGATGCTTCACATAAACCGTATTACTGACATTCAGAATCACTACTTTGTCTTAATATGACTGTATATGATTTATTGTATTTATTGTGTCTGCATAAAATGTAAATGCTGCAATTGTTATTTTTTGACTGGAGTCAGCTGTGACAGATGTGATGTATCAGTCTTAATATTGTCTTGGTTCATTTGTCCTTTGATTCAAATCTGAAATTAAAGCAGAATCCTGAATGGAACATGAGTTTGACGTAAAGAACCTGGGCCTTCATGATTAACTGTTTTGAAATGTTTGTACTTTTATGCCACCTAGAGGATAACTGTGGAATTGAATTTGCGTCGCACATTAGCCCCCAGGATTGGGGACTCTGATCCTGCTGCCCCTGTGTGGGTGTGGAGTTTAGCTCTTCTCCCTACATCACATGGGTTTCCTTCTTCCTGCAGTCCAAAGACATGCAGTTAAGCCTAAATTGCCCACAAAACGTGAACGTGAACGTGATTGTGCGAGTGCCCTGAAGCGCGGTGGCGTACAGCCGCCAGCGTCCCGCTGCAACAGGAGGTGACATCACTGCCCATCACAACTGTGAGTGCTGGTTAGAAGATTTATTCACAAAGATTAATGAAGAATGAATCAGCCTCTGTATTATATAGATATGCACACTGGTAATATAAACACATTTCAAAGTGTGTACAAAAATCGGAGTTTGCGGAATTAAATAGGTTAGTAATAAAATGCTAATTTTAACCAGTAGTTTTATAGGTGAGATGGTGTTAAATATTGTATAGTTATATTATAAAATTGGTGCCATTATCAGTTTGTTTGTTCTCATAATTTAAGGAGAATTAGCTCCAATTTAATGTTAATTTCAGGTGCCCCCCCCCCCATGTTGTCATGGTTTTATTGGTTTGAGCTACACAGGGTTGTTTTTGCTGTATCATGGGGCCATGTGACTCTTTACTGGTTAAGTGGTCTGTAGGCGGGTGGATTTGTGGATGTGTGCAGATGTGGGTTTCTTGGCTTTGGGGGACTTAATGTGTGCAGATTTGGGCTTCTTGGATTTTGGAGTTTTAATGCGCCTGTTTTTTGTGGATTTGACAATTTGCGAGGTTGTCGGAGTTGGGGTAAGGAGTGGTTTCTCCCCAGGACAGCTCTTGAAGATCTGGACATCCTTGACCTTCTTGCCCCGAAGTTCTGGTGGGTGACCGCAGGTGGCTCTTACCTTCAGGTTCACACTCTCGATCCACCTGGGGCAGAGACAAACGAGTCAAGTTAACGCTGGATAAATATAAATGTGGAGTTATTTGGTGGATGGAGATCATTGCAAATGTCCTAATGATTAAAAGGCTTGTAGAGTTTAAGTTACGCATCTCTTTCTATCTGGCCTTCCTGTGTTGGCTGAGAGAGAGAGAGAGAGAGCACAAGAGTCCCCTCACTTGCGCAGGGGCAGCAGTGTGCAGTCACACATCAGGGGGTTCCCGCTCAGGTTGATGACCTCCAGGCCTGTGAGGGGACTCAGGCTGGGCAGTGCCTCTAGCTGGTTCCCCTCCAGCAGCAGACTGCGCAGCCCCGAACCCAGGCCGGCCAGAGAATCCTTTGACATCTGTATGGCAAAATCAATCAATATAACGTCAAGTTGTCTGAAATTGGGATGATAAAAACTATGCGCCTCACCTTCTCCAGGCCCATGCCATCGAGATAAAGATGCTTCAGGCTGTCTGCCAATGAGAGGAAGGCTCTGGGTCCCACCCAGCGAACGGGATTCTCGGAGAGGCGGAGCTCGGCCAGGTTAGCCACCTTAGCAAGTGCGTCGCTTGGTACCTCTCTGAGCTGGTTGGAGCTCAGATGGAGGGTGTTGAGGGCGGGGGCGGGCTCAAAAGCTCCAGGTGCAACAGTGCTGATATTATTTCCCGCCAGGTACAGCCCAGTGAGCCTCTTGGTGTCCGCGAGGATTCCCCGCCCCAGGTTAGCTATGGTGTTGTTCTCCAAGTGGAGCACGAGGAGGTTGGGAAGAAGTTGAAAAGCTCCACAGGGGAACTTGGCAAACTTATTCCGCTCAAGGTGCAGGTAGGTGAGCTCAGGGACGCCCTTGAAGGCTTCGGCGCTCAAGACGGAGAGATCGTTCTCTGACAGGTAGAGATACACCAGGCTCCTCATTCCACTGAAGGCACCTTGCACTAGTTCATGGATCTTGCAGCGCTGCAGGTGCAGAGAGACCACCTGGGCCAGGCCGGTGAAGCTCTGGCTGGGGATGTAATGGAAGTGGTTTTCCCGGAGGTCCAGCAGACTGGTGTCTGGAGGGAAACCGCGGGGAACCGTAGTGTGGCCACGGTTCTCACAGGTGGAGTGGTTGGTCTCACCCTGGTCAGACGGGGAAGGGAAAAGAGTCTGTGACTGCTGTGCAAAATCCAGTAGCCGCCTTTTGCCGAACTGCTCCCTCCCACAACCTCTTACAGGTCTCTGTTAGCTTTGTAGCTTCTGAATTCTTCAGGGTTTCTAATGCAATAAAACTCAGACACTGAGCTGTACAATGCAGGTGTTATACTGGTGTTGCCATTTTCCCCTTACATGGATGCCTCTGTTCTGGGATAGCTGAACGCATCTGGGGGGGGCATGAAGTCAGGCCCACTGGTTTGCTTTTTTTAAAAAAACAATGTTATAATTTCGGCCATTTTTAATAAAGTTGTATTGGATTGTTGTTAATTGTATTTTTCTTAATGAAGCTCCTAAAGTTATCCAGCCCCCCCCCCAGTTTATGACCATGATGAATCTGTCAGATGAACAGGCCAATTAAGCATTTTTCAAAAAAAATAAATAAAATAATAATAATAATACTGCTTCTACTCAGTTCTTGGCCTTGAAGTTTTGCCATATTTAAGCTAAAAGCAGCTGTTGGGGGAAATAATACACATATGAAATAACACTTATAGTGGGGAAGAGAGCAAACCACACTTCAGTGGTCAAACCCGTTCAAGGCCATTAATGAGAACTAAGAAGTGAAGAGTTTGCGTCAGAACAAAACTATCCAAACGAAACTCCCACTATCTTTAGGGATGACGGTGTTTAGCCAGCGGTAGATAGAATTGTCCCAGCAGTTCCACATTTAATACCCCAGCCAGCAAGATGCTTATGTTTGGGACATGTCTTTGAGTCTTATGTTCTAGTTGGCCACCTTCCAACCTGCGCAGTGCGTTCCGAGCTGTCAGCGCGCCCCCCCCTTACCTCGCAGACGCAGTTGGCGGGACACTGGACCTTGTAGCGGGGCTGGGGTGTGGTGAGGAGGGCGGAGCTGTTCATCTCCTCCATCTCCGCTTTCAGCATGGCCTCCTGGCTCTGGCATCGTAGGTCGGGGGGATGTATGGCTCCCAGATTCTCTCCGGAGAGGTAAGGGGGCCCGGCGCAGGCCCCCAGCAGCCGGACCCGGCCCCGAATGCTCCACTCCATCAGCGGCCGCAGGTAGCAGCTGCAGTAAACCGGGTTGCCGGTTAGGTTGAGTCGTGACAAGGACTCTGGGCCGAGGAGTGGGTGCAGGATACGCAGCTGGTTGTGGCTGAGGTCCAGATGGGCCAGCCGGGGCGCCGAGGTCAGCGCCATCTGCGAGAAGTCCTGCAGGGACATGTGGTCCAGCAAGAGGTGTGCGAGCTTGGGCATGACCACAGTTTCCTCACCCAGGTAGGTCATGGGGTTGTGACTGAGCTCCAGACGGGTCAGCTCAGGCAGTCTGCAAGGAGAAAAGTCTGGTGAGGAGGATCAGACACAAGGAGGCTGGAGGGCGCAGTGAAAATCCATAAGAACACAGAATCAGTCTTCTGGACTTAATAATCATCACTTTATTAATCCCTGTGGGGAAATTGTCTTTACGCCTCCCTCAACTTGCTCTTCGTAAGCAAGCTGTCCGCCAAGGGCAGCCACCAGGGAGCCTTGCTCAAAAACCTGCAGACGTGCTGAGGCTGGGTTTGAACCGGCAACCTTGTGATTACAAGCACCCAGGCTTAGCCCAATGAGCCACACGCTGCCCCATTGACTTGACTTCAACCACCTACATGGAAAATTCTTCCAGCTAAGCACTCCAGCTGTTCTGCAGTCCCAACCACCCTGCAACCATCTACAGCAGGGGTAGCCAATCTTATCCGCAAAGGGCCGCTGTGTATGCGGGTTTTCGCTGCAACTCCCTAATTAGATTACTAATTAGGACTGATTGGCTGAGAGTCCTCACACCTGGGCTTGAACAGCTGACCTACAGGTTATCCCAAAAACCTGCATACACACCGGCCATTTGCGGATAAGACTGCCCACCCCTGATCTACTGGATAAGTGGTTGCAAGGTGGACAGATGTGTCCATTCTGAACACCAGAATACATTTCTGATACCTCTTGGCGAGGCCTTCAGATTCCACAGGAACACAGTGTACTGCAGCACAGCATTCACAATAACCGCATACCCAAGCAGGCAGAGGGCAGCCCCCAGTAGGGGGCGCTGTACCTGGTCATGGGCGACGTCGGGAAGAACTGCAGCTCGTTGTGGTCCAGGCTGAGGCGGAGGAGAGTGAAGAGGCCGGCGAAGGCCTCCACAGCCAGGTTATTCAGCGAGTTGTGGCTGAGACGCAGCCACTTGATGGCCTGCAGGCCCTGGAAGGCCATGTTGGGCAGGTAGACCAGCCGGTTGTGGGCGAGTGACAGCAGACTGACGGAGCTCAGCTGGGAAAAAGCCCCTGGCTGGATTTCCTCCACCAGGTTATGGTCGAGGAGGAGCTGCTTCAGTGACGAGAGCCCATCAAATGACTCCTGTCCGACAGAACAATGAAACATTCGTCTCAGTCACAGTATTGACTGCAGAGGGAATCCAATTATTCACAGTGGAATTCAATATATCGTACCCTACAATCACTACACACAAAGCGCACAGAAACGGGGGGTGGAACTAACGGGTAAGAATGTATAACAATACAAATTCCAGAGTTTAAAAACATATCATGAAGATACATGCCTAATCATTTAAATGTAATTAAATAAAATTACCCACAATCCTGACCAGATTGAATGGATGGATGGATAAAACCAAAATAAATAAAACAAAAAAAAACAATCCCACTTTCGTTGAAGCTTTTATCAGAAGTGGCTTTCAGTTTTTGCTCATTTCTATGGTTGGAAAATTACTTAAGCAATTCAGCTGAAATGCATGCCTGCAAGTTATGAGTCCATGTCATTAATGGATGGGCTCCCAACTTTGATATACTCATGCATCCATACCT